GCCTGGTGCTGAACAGCATATGAAATCACTTTCTGGGGCTGAATGGAGTGAGCTCCTCTTATTCAAACCCAGGGGAAACTGTGAAGGAAAAACGGACTCCAGAATAAGGACTAATTAATTTCAGGAATTGGAGACTGGGTGTGTGGATAGGAAGAGAACATTGGAGAACAAGTCCCTGAGTCAGTTCTGAGGGTGTATTCTTCCGGAAGTGAAGAGGGTGCACACAGACGTGTGTGGTCTACTTGAGATGTGGAGAAGGAAAGCAGCAAGAAAACACTGATTGGTGGAGCCGTGCCTTGTCCACAGGCTGCAGCAGGCTCTTTGCTTTGGGCCTTTGCCAGGGAAGCTGAGGAAGGCAGGGTGCTGCGGGGTCATCTGGCTCCAGGTGCGACTCTGCGGCTCTGGAATTCTGACTCTAATCAAGCCAAAGCTCGTCTTTCAATGAACGGTTCCCTCCTCCAGGCCTGATGAGACTTCTACAGGAGAAGACTTTACTGACAAGCTCTTTTACACATCGTCACTAAACTGTTCTAATACGAACGAGGAGCCGGAACACTGGTAATGCTTCTGAATTGCCGTGAAGTAATTAAAAACACCTATGCCAGCGTGGTGTGCGTTCCTCACATGGGCACAACAGGTTTCCCACAAGTTCCTTTTCAGAACCGGAAGTGCATAGCCAGCTTTGGCTCTTCTTCACATAGATGAAAGATGAAGCTATTGACTGACATTCTCTTTATCTGTTACACATATGATGACATTCCTCAAGAGACTTTCTTTCCGCAATTTTTTTTTTCCAAATCCTGTTTACAGCCCTCAAACACTCAAGGTAACAACTAATTTGAGGTTATGTGTCATGGCCACCTCTGGAGGGCTCCAGAACATTTGGCAAATGCCGCTGGACACACTTATACACAGCAGAAGAAAGACAGAGCTGTATGTATTTGGAAGGCGATGGCCCCAGAGGAACCATCAAGAATAAAGAGCTCGGTGGTGCCTTAAGAAAGAGCTCCTCAGTGCTGCTGTAATTTGAAAGGAATTTCTCTCCTGCACAAAAACAACTATGTAATAAGTTTGGATTTTCTGGAATTGGACCCTTTCTAGCAATAATTATGAAGATGAATTTTTACATGCTTCTACTGCTGTTTTCTGTCTGTGCTACTCCTGGCCACAAGTACACATGAGGGTACGATGAGCACATACCATCTGCCAACACCAGGGCTGTCAGCACAGAAGTTAGTCTTAGTTCCAGGAGGGTAAACCAAGGCACAGAGGGCAGAAGCTTCCCAGAGACGAAACGTGTTAAGGCTTCGCATGAACAGGTGATTTGGGGACCATCACAGGAACCATCAGTCTGGTATACCCATTTCAGAGAGGAGCAATCAAGGCAAGGGGACAGAAAGACTCTGCAAGAAGGAACTCCTTCACTCAGACAAATACATCACAGTATTGTACTTTTGGCCAAAGCTATCTGGTCCTAAGTATCAGAAAACAGGGCAAGAACTCCAGGGGAGACAAGGCTGCTGTAGGCTCCAGAAGCACTATGACTGCTGGTGGTCCACACAGCAGAGGGAACCTTGCATATTTAAGGATGGAAATATGTCTTGCTGGTGAACATTCCAAAGAGGAGAAAAGTCCCGTTTTCTGTGCAAAGCTTATACCCTCCATGTACGAGTGTGCTGTACACGGAGTGCATCTGATTTGTTCCAGACAGAGGAAGTTTTCACCCAGTCTTACAGTGGCAAGGTGTGGACTGAAATGAAGCCTTGGGTGTGTGAACTGGGAGATAAAGTGATGATAGGGCCTTGCTGAGGGTTATGGCCCAGCCTTGATCTCTGTGGGCTGGCAGACTCTATTTACTTATGCCCCACACTAACCCCAGGGTACTAGGGTCACACTATCACTCAAGACTCCCTTGGTATATCACCACAGCCAGTGCAGGGCAGCACCTCTCCAGATCACACCCCAATCCACAAATGAATGAATATAATGCACATTGTAGCCTCTTCCTCACCATCTCCTAGTAAGCATTGTTATATGTCAACACATTCTGAGTCTTGTGGTGGAGACAAAATCGTTACCATGCTCCCATGAGAAGACATGACACATAGCATAGCTCTCCAGATGAGAAGGAACAAAAGTCTTGATCCTGCTAAGTACTTTGGGCCATAAATAAGGCCAGAATTGAAGTGAGGGGTGACATGGCCATGAACACAACACATACACACAAGAGACCCATCCTCTAACCCCAGCCAATGACTCCATCATGCCATAAGCTACCATTTATGAGTTTTACACTCCAGGCTGCAATAAGAAACACCATCTTTACCACCATTTGTTGAGACCACCAGAATCCCTAGCAAGGGCAAAGACAGGGTACCTAAAAGTCTACAACTTTCCCAAAGCCTGTGACTTATGTTGTCTGAACTGTCACCTCATGTCTTAACATTGGGTAGTGCTCGCAGCCCAGGTTTGCATTGATTCTAATGCAGACTTACAGCCATATAAAATAGGAACTTGGTAGGGGGAGATGGCTTCTGGAAAATGCAGCTATGAATAGCCATCCAGAACTCCATAAGCAATCCCTAAAAAGCCCATTTTATTCATCAAGATGAACCTGTGTGAGTCATTCTATAAGTAGCCAATGCCATTCCAGTTTGGAGGTAGGTGGCAGCTTCACATCTTGCCAGGGAAGTCACACACTCACACTTCACACAAAGACCAAAAGAAGAGCATGGCCTGATTTTTAAACTAATTGATTAGAAATACTCTATAAAGGAGGAATTCCTTCTCTTTAATCCATAGAAAAACTAAACCTAGGCAGGAAAGAAGAGCTCCTGGCCCTTAGCTCCATCCAGAGCTCCCCAAAGTAGATTTTCAAGCCTAAGGTAAACCTCAAGGGCAGTATTGCCCCCAAGGAATGGATCCTTACAGAGGCTAGAGTGTGTTAGGAAGATAAGTATCCCAAAAGGAAGCTCTGTACAATACCCCCATCTGTCTATCAGTGTTTCACCTGTCATGAGCTTCTACCATACCAGCATTTCACAGATCCACTAAAGCATACGTCACCTTGAGCCCTTGGTAAGGTATGATACACAAAGTATGTACTGGGGACTGCACTGGTATCCCCAAATCATCACCAAATGTCTAAAAACACGGCCAATGCTGTCCACTCTGATGTCCCAGTGCTCTGATGGTCCTAACTCCTGCCCCCAGCCCCAGATTCATAGACCTTGGACATGAAGGAAAGAAGTGGAAATGACTTGAGGATGAATTAAATCAAGAAGTTACATCTCACTGTAACTGTCCTAGTTTACTCACAGCAGTGGTTCAGAAGAGATGTTGACAGAGAACTGAACTTTAGAACCGTGCATCCCCAAAAGCTCCAGCCTATAAATGAGACAACAGTCATGGACACAAGAGGGCTTAAAGAGTGGAAATCTCTAGATTGGTGATTAATGAAATCAGGTTTTCCATTTTAACAAATTGACTCATGAACTTCAGTTGCAGAGGAGAACAGAAAAAAAATTGTTTTAGTTAACTTCCAAAACTATTCTGAGTATTTACTTGTTTGCCCAAGTGAGTTTCTACTTTCCTTCTCTGGAGAAGACGTTCCTGACCGTTTTAATACAATTTTTGAAAATGGCATAGTCTACAGGCAATAAAAAGACATGGGGTTCTTTGATAGAACTACAAGACAAAGAAGGAAGTTTCATGTGGAAATGGGAAAGATGTGGCAGAAGTGAAAGATGAACAGCAATTTGCCAACAGAGAGAAGGGATAACAGTCCAGGGCAAGAGGCAGGACATGAAAAGGCACGGTACACGCAGAGCATCTTGAACGTTAGAAGAATGTGGGAACTGTGCTGGGGCTGGGCCTGGCACCTAGGACACAGATGGCTTAGAGAGCTGGAGAACTCTTTAGGAAAGACCTTGGATGCCTTTCCAATAACTCGAACTTTTCTTGAAGACTGCCAATGAAGTTTCAAAGCTCTGTAATGTTTATTTACTTCGTGTGCTTTAGAAAGAAAACCCCAGGGGAAAAATGGAAAAAATGCATTGAAATATCCAAGACCTGGGATAAGGCTAGCTGATCATACAGCTGTGGTAAAAGGCCATGGAGCTGAGCCATGGCCAAGGCCAGAATGGAGAGACATTTCTGAGATGTAATGGCTAAGGTTAGTAACTTAGCTGGATGTGTGGGTGGGAAGAAAGAGCTGATAACAGCCCTCAGAGCTCTAATTGGGTGGAGGCCACTGCACTGAGCACTGCAGGGATGAACCAGGCAAGATGGCTTTGGTAACAGTAGCTCATAATGCAGACGAGAAGCTGTACTTGCTTTGCGTTCAGACACTTTCTCCAAGAAACTCCTAGACAGGGCCCACGAACAACCTTCCCTACTTAGAGATCTATTTCAGAGCAAAGAACGTGAAACATCTCTCACTTAGTGGTTTTGATAAGTGTTCAACATGAGCTGATCATGTTCAGGGGTCTTAGCAAAGGATGAGAAAGGTCTAGAAAAATCACACAATAAGATCAGATAAAGGTAAGGAAAAGAAACTTCCCACATTCTCATCAGAGTCGATATCTAGACGGCAACTTCCACATTCTCACCAGAGTTGATATCTAGAAGGCCAGGTATACACACAGTTCTCATCTGTGGGATTGTTTGGTTTTAGGGATTATTCTTTTCCTGAATCTGAGCAGTATCAATGTATAAAATATCCACACCCATGGCTTTGATTGGACCAGAAGTTATCACAAATCATGTGGGGTTTGCTGAAATACGTTTAACAGGTGATGAGTCAGATCACCTCCTTGTCTGAGTGCCTTGCTAACCAGGCAGCTACATCGAAAGGCTTCCGGGGACTTGGGTTGCTGTGTAGATATAGGAAAGGGCGATAAATCGATAACTCCACCTGAGCACACCTCTTTTGAGTAAAGCTGGTCAGGTACAAATAGGAAAGGGTTGCAAGTCTACAGCCATGCCTGCCTGCTCCTCCCTCTACCACACTTGAGGACATGAAGTTCACAGTAAGTCATATTTTCCTTTTAAATTTAGTATCATATAATTGGAAACTGTTGCTATTCTGGGGTAAGAGGATCTGATTCTTATGGCACTATTACCATAATGGAAAACTTTGAAAATAATTCCCTCTTTTCTTTTCATGGAATCATGGCCTTCATAAATATGTCCATAAAGAAGGATGATTACACTGTGATTAGGCAGCTGTTGGAGTATCTTTCACGAAGCTATTTGTAGTAAAATTACCTTCCATGTCACCTAATTCAGGTTTCTGCTCAGGACAAGCAGTCCCTGAGCTCTAGAAAGTGCCTGATCTTTCCCATGACTTCCCCCTCTTACTAAGTCCTGAGTATGCTTCTGTTAGACTGGAATGTTATTATCAAAACCATTCTTTCACATTCTTTGCTGTGAAATGGACCTGCAAAAAGGAAAGGTCGTCCTTGGGCCCTGTCCAGGCATTTCTTTGGGAAAGTGCCTGAGCATGAAGCCCGAGCAGTTATAGGATGCAGAAAGGCTGGATTTAGATAAACATTTTTATATTCCAGCATACTCTGTAGGCTCTGCTTTATTATAGGGTTACAAATGTAAACTATGACCTAGAAATATCTCCTTCAGAACAATGAGGTTGGATAAAGGCAGGGAGCACCCAGCTCAGGGCAGCTCGGACTCCACCTAGTTCTGAGTGGACAGGGCTGCCCTTTGGCTAAGCCACCTTAAATCCTTAGCAGTCTCTTCCTTTGTATGAGATAACATCACTCAAAAATTTCTTTCATGTCTGACTTTTTAAGACACAAACTTCAACTTTTAAAGGCTGAAAATAAAAACAAGAAACACAATCTAATAAGAAAAATGACACGAGTATTCTTTCTGTTAGGAGGAAGCATCCCAGACCAAAGAGAAAGTAGTTTTTATATGTGATTTCTTTCAGAGCTTTCATAACAATTTTATACTATGTGTACATTAATTTCAAATTTTGTTCATCAATTTTTCAGTGTCTATATTCAAAATTCTAAAACTATAACTATAATTACAATGAACCAACAATTCTACATTACCATTAAAACTTTCTACTGTTAAAAATATTGGGTTAAAGAAGAAAACACAGATCGTTCAACGCTTTGGTAAAATTAATAACCATGTTTAAGGAGCCTGGACGAAGGAGAGGGTGCTACTCAGCAAGCTGTGTAATAGGCTGTGGTTTCTGTGCTTTCAGATGATCGTCGTTGGCCTGCTTGGGCTCTTCATAGCTCCTGGTTTTGCTAACTATGTAAGTCTCATTTTAAAACATTTGTTGCCAAATGCATTTGCAAAGAAATGTGATCCTCAATCAATCTTCATTTCTTATGCACTTTAGAATAACTACGTCAATGATGACCACAACGTGGCTGTAAGCGGGCAGCAGTCAGTGAGCATCAACAACCAACACAACGTGGCCAATGTGGATAATAACAACGGCTGGGACTCCTGGAATGCCCTCTGGGACTATGAAAATGTAGGTAGTCACAGCAGCTTTTATGAGGCAAAGATACAGTATACCCATCACCACAGAAAATCCAAAGTGATTTCTAACTGCACATAAGCATAATGGATACCAAAGTGCCTGTTTCATTCAACCAGTTCTACGTCCCACATATAACTACTACTAACAAATGTTGCACAATTGGCTAAAATTCAAATCAATGAACAATAAGGATAAAGTACATTCAAAGGCAAATATGAGCATCCTTTGGTCTTTTCTGCAGAGAGCCATGGAAAAGCAAAGGATCTAATATTTCATCTATAATTCAAAAGGACCAAATGAATTACAGATGAGAGAAGGAAAAACAAAGCAACACTTGACCCCCCCTTGCAGTGACTAGTTTTGTACTTAACCAACTTAGCACTTTTTTAGGACTCAAAGTACTGTTTCAATTTTATCTAATCAATTAGAAAACTAATTCCTGTCTGTGTGCCTCCTTGAAATGTTGAGGATCAAAGGATACTAAAATGTGACAGCTTAAAAAGTTTATTTCAGCAAAACAGAAACAGAGAGCACACTAGCAGCAAAGTAGAATAGAGGCCAAGGTGATGAGTTAGGGTCTTACCTCTGACCTCCAAGAGCTTGCAAGCTGTCCCATACATGTTAGCCACAGACATGACTAGGGACAGCCAGAGCCAGTGTGCTTATCCCAGCTCACTGTGATCCTGGAGTTCCATCCCCTCAGCTGGTAGATCCGATTTGTGATAGGAAAAGCCTCCCAGGGATCACACAGCTCACCACCTGCTGTATTCTTTAACAGAGCTTTGCCGCAACCAGACTGTTCTCCAAGAAGTCATGCATTGTGCACAAAATGAACAGGGATGTCATGCCCTCCCTTCAAGACCTTGATGTATTAGTCAAGGAGGAAAAGGTAAAGATAAGCCTTGTAATTTGGGGTGAGAGCAGAGCCTTCAGTAAATAATGAAGTCAGGGCCGGGCTGCACATGCCTCTTATCCCAGCAGAGGCAGGCAGATCTGAGTTTGAAGCCAGCCTGATCTGCACAGTGAGTTCCAGGCCAGCCAGGACTACATAGCGAGATCCATCTCTAATAATGATGATGGTGATGATGATAATGATGATGATGAAAAAGTCACACTAATTCAGTTCCCTCTTCAGTACAGTATGCCAGCATACCTGCATGGTAAATAGCATAAAGTAGGAGGAGTGACAGGTGACTACCTGAGCGGGGCAACATCCACCACATCAGAGGTTGTGGCTCACATTTGCCTACACAGAGCTGAGCAGAAAGAACACTGACTATCCTGACTGGAGAGGTACAAAGCTCTGGTCACCTCAGTGCAAACCCTCAGTACTTCAAGGATATTCTCCTGAGATAGCTGGTCAGGATCATCAGAATTAGCAAACAAAAATAGAGGATATCTAGTTATTTGGGGATTTCATTTTTTAAACATGTCTTATGCAATATTTAAGATAATCTTAAGACCAAAGATGAGTTGCTGCTTACTGGAAATTCAGATGTAACCAAGTGTCCTTTGTCTTCTGTCAACCACAGCTTCAGTAGATGGAAAGGGAATCCATGATTTTCACCAAAAACAATTGCCTGAGTTCATGTTTTCATAATTGATAAATGGATACCTATCACTGACAAGATAGAGAAAACAAATGAGATACACTCTTGAAAGCTATCACATAGCCCAACCTGAAGAATCCAAGATGGCCAGATAAGGTCCACGTTTCAGAATAAATTTAGCCTCAGACTTCTGTTTTTATGAACCGCTGAGGTTTCAAATCCCTTGGGACACTTAGAAGCACTGAGACATTCAGAGCTACAAATGGCTTGGTTAGGGGAAAATATGGTAGCTAAGAAATCCCCCTACTGTCCCCATGCTCCTTCAGATCAATAACCCCCTGGGCTTGGTATTCATTCCTTTTCTTTCTTTCCTCTTCACACTGGGCTTCAGGGTAAAGAGCCTGGAGGACCACCCCGCAAGGAGTTGACGTACTCCATCAACCCTACCAAAGTGGAAGACCTGAATCAGTTTGGAACAAAGATTGCTGGCATGTGCCAGGGGATCCCAACCTATGTGGCTGAGGAGGTTCCAGGTGAGTACCTCCAAGTTAGTGCTGGCAGAGCTGGCAGAGCTGGCAGACTCTCTGAACATGACCGTAGATGGCACCGATCCTGTGGGTTGGTCATCAGTGCTAACCCTTTGTGCTTACTCTACAGTTGTCCATGCGCCTTAGTGCTTACTCCACAGTTGTTCTTGCTCCTTAGTGCTTATGCCACAGTTGTCCATGCTCCCACTGTGTAAGCTCTTTACTCCTCGTGTCAATCTTAATAGAATCTACAGGCTCTACTGTTAGTCTTGTTTTATGAATGAAGAAATGGAGCCACAGAAAAGGTCACAAAGCCTTTGCTTGGGTCAATGCAAATATTTTGGCTCAGGGTCTGTGCTCTTAAGCTCCATAGAATACTACCTTTCTTGGGTAGGTGTGATCTAGAGCAGACTCCAGGCAGGTTCAAAAGAAAGCATGAATGGCCAAATGAAAGGAGAGCGCCAATAAAATCAGTTGACTTTCCATAACTCGAACACTTAATTTATTGGCAGAGAGAGGGTGGGGCTTGAAATTAGTGCATTCTTAGGATGGTATGAGATACCTCCCTCACCCTCTGGAAAGAATCCATGAACACTTGCTGATCCAGACTTCTTTTCTTTTTACAAGAACCAAACCAGCCTCTTTACTCAAAAAAGTGCTACACAGCCAACATTCTCTGGATTCTGAGGATGTCCTTCTGTGGGACATCAGTGGAAACATTTTAGAAGCAACGATGGATTCAGTCATCAGAGAAATAAAACATGGGCTCTAATCACTTTTATCTCTTCATTGTGGAAACGTTTTCTGTGACTTGTGTTTGGCTTAAGATTCAATGAATACATTTGGCACAAAATAGTTGTATTGACATTCCTTATGACTTTATCCAGATGCAGTGTGGCATGCATTAATCTACCCATCAGCCTGTATTCAAGACCTGCCCCCTGTAAAGAACCCCTCAGGTACTTCAGGAGTTACACACTGCAGCCTGGGAAGGGTTCTGAGACTGCATCACTGCTCTCTCAAGACCAGTGTACAAAATGACACTTCAGACCAGCAAGGATAAAAACTCACTCTAAGTAGTCATAGGCAGAAAGGTGTTTACTACAAAGATCCAGGGTATCCAATAAACCAAGGAGGAGAAGCTGAATATCAAAGGCTAGACTTCTGCTGACACCAAGAACCCGAGACCACCTCTCTCTCCCCAGAGCAACATGTCGCCTGCTCTGTAAACTCTGCTTCCTTTGTTAATCTTGAAGATGATCTTGCTTTTCTCGTGGAGCAGGACAACTGGTCCAGAATGTCTGCCTCATCCCTTACCTAGTTACTATTTCAGGATAAAATTAGGATCATTGGGAAGATAAAAATTCTGAGTATATACACTTGTCAAAATAAACAAAGAAAAATTTGCAAGAACAACAAGAAAAAGTAAACAATTTCACTATCCTACTTGAAGATTCTAACACATAATCTTTCAGTAACTTAAAGATGAAGCAATCATTTTAATGAGCATCTACAGAACATCACAAAATGCGTATTCTCCTTACACACATGGAACTTACATAAATGTTGATTGCATGCTGAGGCATAAATGCATAAATCAAATCTCAAGATTTGACTGTCATCATATATAACACATTTTTCTGGCCTCAATTTAGTTAGGACAATAAATACTCCCCCCAAATGTAACAATATAATTTAATTTGTCTTTAAGTTATGTAGCATATTTATAAATAGAACAAGAACTAAAGAAAATTTTTAAAACATTTTATTATTTTTTATTTTATGTGTACTACTGTATTACCTGTATGTGTGTAAATGCACCTGTGTCATGCAAATACCCAAGGAGGTCAGAAGAGGATCAGATAGATCCCTTGGAACTGGAGTTACAGATGATTATTAGCTATTATGGGTGCTGGGATATGAACCCAGGTTCTCTGCAAGAGTAGCCAGTGCTCTTAACCACTGAGCCATCTCTCCAGTCCCATAAAGAAAAGTTTTTAAAAAGCCCAGGCCCAGATAGATTCATAGTAGAATTCTACCAGACATTCAAAGATGATATATAATCAATACTACTTAAATTATTTAAAAATATAGATACAGAGGGAGAGCTCCCAAACTCTTTCTATGAAGCCAGCATCACTCTAATACCAAAACCAGGTAAAGGCACAACAGAAAAGAAAGCTATAGGCCCACAGCCTTAATGAACATAGACGCAAAAATTCTCAACAAAATACTCGCAAATCACAGGCACATATTAAAAAATATCATCCACCATGACCAAGTCTGTTTTATTACAGAGATGCAGGGATGATTCAATATGCATAAGTCAATAAATGGACCCCACAAAAATCACATGGTCATCTCAATAGATGCAGAAAAGACCTTTGACAAATCCAGTATGTATCTATGTTAAAATTCCTAGAGAGAACTGAACTGGAGGGAACATCTCTCAACATAATTAAAGCCATATACAACAAACCCACAGCCAACATCATTCTAAATGGAGAAAAACTGGAAGCATTCCCATTAAAATTAGGAACAAGACAAAGCCATCCTCTATCTCCAGTCCTCTTGAACATAGTGCTTGAAACTCTTGCAAGAGCAATAAGACAAGAGAAGGAAATTAAAGGAGTGCTAGCTGGAAAAGAAGTCAAATTGTCCTTATTTGCAGATGATATAATATGCAAGAGATTACAAAAATTCCATCAGAAAATTTTTATAAATGATCAACACTTTCAGCAAGGTGGTAGGTTACAAAATCAATCTACAAAAATCAGTAGCCTTTCTATATACCAATAACAAGCAATCTGAGAATGTATTAATGAAAACCCTCCCATTCACAACAGCCTCAAAAAATATCTAGGAATAAATCTAAACAAAGACATTAAAGATGCACACAGAAAGCCACAACTGGCCAGTATAAAGAATAAGAGACTGCAGAGAGTGTGTACCTACCTAGGACTCCTAAATTAAACCTCACCCACCCATGGCTCAGGGGCCATTTCAGACGAGGGAGTGGAAAGATTTTAAGAAGACAAAGTCTTCCAGGCTTCGGAGAACTTGTTCATATGAACTTACAGCAATTGTTTCAGCATGCACAAGACCCATGCAAACTAAATCAAGACAAAAACCCAGCATAAAACTGGGGAAATAGGCAACAGGCCTCAACCTTAGCCAACGGACTATTGGTAGCTGATTATTGCTGGGTGAAGGAGAGTTTTCTTCTTTAAGGGAAAAACTCTAGATAAGATGACCAGACCCCAGTGGAAAAACTTGAGCTGTACATCTGGGTACCTAAACTTGACTGATATGACAGAGTGCATGAAATCTGGCTGGGGGGTTATGGGGTGCAGATAGGGAATGAGGTCTAAATATGATTAAGATTTATTGTATGAAATGCACAAAAATTCAATAAAAATATACATTAAAAAAGAGTGAAACTTGGCATAGACATCTCTCTTCAGCTTACTCAGAGATAAAAATTCTTAGTAATCTCTAAGAACAAGAAACACATAGAACAGGACTTCCTGGAGAGAAACTAGTCCTTTCCTGTGCCCCACCCCACAAGGTCCATCTGGACAGTATAGGAGCTTGGCCACAGCTGGCATAACCCATCTCCTACAGTACCCACTGAAGACAGTGTGAAATGGTCTATCAAGCAAAGCTGGAGTCAACAACTGGCCCCTAGGTGAACTGCTCAAGGCTGGAACTGGTAGTATCAACAGTATCAGTCAACTATTAAAACAAAACAATCATGAAATCCCATGCATTCAGGAATAAGAACCCTCTACCCAGCTGTGGTCAGCTAGCCAGGAGCTTTCGAATAAAGCTGGGCTTGGCTAAACATCTCTGCTTCCAGCCACAAGAGCAGCATCACATACAGTATCCTGTGGATCATCATAAGTCACATAGCCTAGCTAAAATTCAGATGCAGGGAAGCGACTTTCCATGCTCTTCTTAGGTGAAAGGCTCTGAACAGTTCAAGGCAAAGACTATGAAGAATTAGAGGAAACTCAATCTGCCACGCTACTCATAAGGTTGTTGAAGGGATTAAATGCAATAATGTGTACCATGGTGTTTATGTATTCTGTGTGGTGGTTAATATTGACTGTGAACTTGGCAGGAGCTAACATCACCAGAAAGCAAGCTTATAACCATGCCTATGAGGAATTACCTTGATTGTGCTGATTGAAGTAACACTATTCCTTGGGATTGGGTCCTAGAGTGCTGTGTTGGTTAGTTATTGTCAACTTGAAGCAAACCAGATGTGGCACCTGCTGAGCAACTCCTAGGACCCCACTGATCAAGGACAAGGGTGATAGAAAACTGTTGGCATTTGTAATTTAATTCAAGAGATTCTTGTTTGCTTGCTTTGTACATCTGCTCTGGGAAAGTAACTTTACAGTAATAAAGCAGAAGCCCTGTGTTAAAAATTCAAGGATGATTCATCCTTACAGAAGTCATCATCCTCTCACCAAACATAATGGTCATACTGCTGTTTCGCAGTCTTACAACATTCAGATAGATTGGAAACTTATGATACAAAACCAATTTCTTAGCAGTGGAATAAAGAAATAGCAAAGATAAGCACTACGTTATGAATCTAGAAAATTAAATTCCCAAGAGTTCTAGTACGCGACAAGAACTGTAATCAGTCAATCAACTCCAACTGTTTGTAAGCACAATCTTTCCAAAACTTCACCTCCTCACCCACCGCCCTTGCAGACCAGTCAGCAGCCTTCATCCAGGCTTCACCCAGCTCTGTCAGTTCCAGAGACAGGGGGTTTCAAGACTGGCATCTGACCTCTCTGAGCCTCAGATTTTCATTCATGGAATGAGGATCATAATACTGAAATCATAGTTATTGTGAGTATTAGAGATACATATCTTGAGCCATGGTGATTAGAATTCCTATCTTATGGTACTGATTGACTTAATGTTAGCTCCTCCTTTTGAAAGTCAACAATCACTCAATCATCTCGCTCTGTGTGTGTGTGTCTCTGTGTCTCCCTGTCAGTCTGTCTCTCTCTCTTACACACACACACACACACACACACACACACACACCACTGCTGGTCTCTATAGTCTCTTGGTTCCTTTCCCAGTTACTGGTATTATTTAAACATCTATCTGTAGCCACACATGGTGCTGCACACCTGTAATTCCAGAACTTCCAGACAGGAGGATCACGAGTTCTAGACCTGACTGAACTTCAGAGTGACACATGCTCAATTTCTTTTAGCCTTGTGTTTCTTCCCACTTCCAACTCTATCCCTGTGATGGCCACTTCGCAGCTTCATGGTTGGGTTTTTATACTGACTGTATGCCCAATCTCCTTTTCATTTACTCTTTTTCTGACACTGTTTGGTTTGTCCTACTTGCTCTTCAGTTCTATCTAGTGACCATCTTCATCAGCTACCTGAGTCCCATACAGCTCATCCATGCAGCACCGTGCCATGGGCACTTCCTCGTGCTTTGGTCTTCAGATGTTTTATTTGTTTACCATAGTTGCGTGATAGAATATTCTGTGAGTGACTCAAACTTTTAAAGTCATTCTCCATGGGCATTCTTTAAGTATTAATTATAACTGTTAGGGTGAGTATGTGTGTGTCTCTGTGTGCATATTATATGCAGAATAAGTACAGAGTAGTTTGTAAACATTAGTCAGAGGCTGAAAGTCTGCAGGTCATCTTGCCTTCTTTAGGCTTCACTGCAGTGACTGGGT